TAACTCTGACTCCACATAATTTACAACCTAGTTATGACCCTGTTTCTCCCCTCCCCAGGGTGTGTCATAAATCACATCCTCCAATGGGCTGTACAGATCACGCCCCTCCGGCTACTGCAGGTAACCTGGGAGACAGCCTTGAGAAATATGTGTGTGGAATATGTTTCTGTTTGTGGCTGCCATGCTGCGTTGTCAGTTCCCCACCTCCCTTGTCTATGGCAGGCCAGAGAGCATGCCAGAGATGCTTTCTGAGTTGACAATTAAGATGACCTCAGTCTTATTTCCAGACACAATATATCATTCAAATAGCTATGATTAAATCAATCAATCAATGATAAACACATAAGGAAAATACTGTTCTTTTGCCTTTCGGTTAATCCTACCATTGGGTTATATTCAACTTTCTACCCAAGAAAAATATGTGAACTACTATTCATAGTACAGGTAGTCCTTATAACAGTTCTATTCTATATGTCATCAACCTTATAATGGTTGATTTAGTGACCATTCCAAGTTACAAGAGCCTGAAAATAGTGACTTATGAACTATTTTTCACACTTATGACCCAATAGTTATGTGATTTACATTCAGATGCTTAACAATTGATTGATATTTATGATGGTTGGTCCTGATGGTTCAGGAGTCATTTCACGATCTTCCGACAAGCAAAGTCAAAGGACAACCCAGATTTACTTTACAACCATGTTACTAATTTAACAACTGCAGTGATTCATTTAACAAATGTTGCAGAAAAAAGATAATCAAACGGGACAAATTCACTTAACAATTTTTTTTTTATTGAACACCATAAATTTTGTGGTTGTAAGTTGAGGACTGCCTGTAATACATTGCTTTTTTATATCCATGAAAATGGAAAGCATGGTGCTCATTACTGTATATAGTGATGTACTCCTTGTTAACGTTAAGCTGTAAAAAGACATTTGGAAAGAAGGGGAAAATGTCTCATAGCATGTTTTATCCCTATTTTTAAAACTTCCTCTTTTTCTTCTTCTTTTTTTCAAGTAGCTGCACCCATTTCTTCAAAGCATTTCTTTCAACAACTCAGCAGAGGAAACGGTGTCCTTTAATGAAAAGATGGAAATTGCAGGAGGATTTGACATCGTCAACATGATCACTTTTTCAAACAATTCCATTCAGAGAGTGAAAGTTGGGAGGTTAGATGCCAATGCTCCAGAAGAAAGTGAATTGGTTATTAATGAAAATGTGATTGCATGGCACAAAGATCTTAACCAGGTATGGATATTCTTGAGTGGGTCAGACTGCTGCAAAAATTTGCTACAACATGTGTCACATTCCTCCATTGTACTCATTGAAAAAAAACAACTGGTGAATTCCTTTGCAACTTTTTTTTAAATAGATTGGTTATTATCGAAAACATGATTGAATGGTTTTAGCCAGGTACAGATATTCTTGAAAGGAAGAGACTTCAATTAAAATGTCTCCAAGCAATCTCTTCTGGCCATAATTCTCTTTACAGGATGTTTGTTAATGTTAATGTTAATGTTA